ATATATATTTTTTGTAATATATATATATATATATATATATATTAGTTCATGTAGATCATTATATATATCTTGAAAATAATTTTCATTAATGTTTTTCATAAAAAGGAATCATTGTTAAATTATTTTTGTACTTATTGTGAATAGAATTTATTAGTCAATTATGATTTATTTTAATTATTATAACTATTATTTGAAGAGATCTTAATGTTTTTGAATGTCATTTCAAAGTTACTAAGGTTACCAAGAAACACTGCAGTATTACAAGTTCATTAAAATATATTATTGTTTTAGAAGAAATATTACTGAGGTTAGTTAGGGCTATAATGAGATGTTGATAATGCTTGTCTAAGATAATCATTTAATTATATATAAATTTAATAAATTTAGCTGAGAAAATAAATTTCATTTTATTAATATATATTAGTTTTAAGTTTTTTTTTTTTGAAAATTGAATATTAATTAGTATTCAAATCGTATAATGCAGTGGGATTGGTTATAAAGTTATTTTATTTATTTTAACATTATCTCAATATTTATTTTATAATATTATTTTAATTTATTTTAATTATTCTGAATTTATTGTTTCTAAAAATGTTCATGTGATTTTTTATTTTTTATTTTTTATTTTTTTTATTGTCTTTAATGTTACTTGTTGATAGATTATGATTTTTTTTTATTTAAATGTAAGTTATTACATTATTCTTTTTTTATAAGTAATACAAATGTTTATTTTTGAATCTTGCACCAAGTGTCTAATGTTGATTTCAATAATTTAACATGTAACCATTTAAAGAGTTTTATGTTTAATCATATATATATATATATATATATAGTTATATAGTTATATGTTTGTATTTTTTTATTGATATATATCTGTATTACTCAGCTTGCAAATTTGCAAGAAACATGTCCTCAATTTGCACACTGACCTTTTTACTTCATCCGCTCTTTACCCATGTGTTTCAACAAATATAGATGTTAGGTAGCGATCTTAGATTTTTGTAGACAGCTCAATGATATCAATCAATTTTTTGGCATTTCTAATATTCTGGCAATCGGATTTAGAATTTCAATATGTATATACATATAAATATATAACATAAAATTAAAATTTGGAAATCAGATAATATCAAAGATGTAGGACATACTAAAATATTTTGGTTTAGAAAGCTTTTTGGATATATTATTCATCTAATACTAAGCAACAACTATGTACCTATCCTTCTACAGCGATTCAAGTTGTATTAGCTACGGTTCTAATCACTTATATATATATATATATATATAGTATTTAAGCCTATTTATTATGAATTTATTTAAATTAAGAGCACATTAATTATTATTTTAAAATGCGTTTTTTTTACTATTTTTATATATCAACAGGTATTGTAATATATCTAGTAACATTATATCAAATTAGTTCTTACAAATTCATAGTTAATCATATAAAAATCTTTGATGTAAGCTGTTTTTATTTGCACAAGAATACAAATGCCAATTTCTTCCTAGTTATCTGTTGTAATATATATATGCATAGTTTTAATAATTATTTTTCTTTCTTCTAATTTCAAATATTAATCTAAAATATCTTAACTTAACATAAGAGATAAACGATTAGACAAAAAGACAGTTTTTTATATAATGTAACAAATCTAAGTTTATGAAATGCAAAAGATCAGATATGTATATTATTTATAATTCAGTGAAAACAAATCACTCATAGGTTTAAAGATTAGAAGATAATAAGAATGATTATAGTGTAAATACTAGAAAATCATAATAATAATTTTTATTACGTAAAGACATTAAATATTTAATCTAAAATTTTAAAATAACTTTGATTATTTTCTTTAATTAAAAGGAAAATTTTATTTTCATACCAGTCCTTGTAGTCTGATATTTTAAAATTATAAGAGCTTTGGAATCCTTGATTTGAAACAAAAAGAAAAATTAAGGACAAATGATGCAATTTGAATGAAGGAGTAAAATTCGTTGGGATTTGTGCCAAAAAGATATGAAGTTTTACCAATAGATTTATAAGATAAGGTAGGGTCTATACGATTTAAGCTATTAGAAGATGTTATGGCAATAGATAGATAAGTGTTTATATATATGTAGGTATATATATTTACTTATAAGACTTTAATACATTTAAACAATAATAGTCCTTAAAGACTCTAATTCTTTATTTTGATTTTGTAGAAATATTTAGATTTTTAATGAATTGATTTATTAATTATTTATCTATTTCATTAATATTGTATTTAATTTGAACAAAATAATACTTGATTATAAAATAATCATAATTTTTTCCATTCAAAGATTTTTTTTTATCAATTTAGTCTTTTGAGCTTCAAAAACTAATTGTATTTCAATCTTTGATACTTCCAAAACTTTCAAAAACAATTCTTTAAAAGTAATGCAGAATGATTAATTTGATTTTAGAAATAAAAATAAAATATTGAAGAATGTCTTTATTTAAAATTATCACTTTTCAAAATTTAAAATTATTTTTTATGGTTTTTCGTTTATGAAAATAACATAAAAAGAATATCTTATTTATATATGGACATTATGCTTTTCTGATTTTTTTAAGCTTTTAATGTATTGTTATATCTTTGAAATATTAAAATATTTTGTGAATGAAAAATTGCAATGCATTTTGATGTCTTGTCTTGTTGAAAATGTTAAATGTATTACAATAAGAACAATTATATTTTGTAAAATATTAAAAAATATAGATAAAGCTAAATTAGTTATAATGATTTATATACTTAATAATAATTGAGCATACATGCAAAGTGATTTTTATTGTGATAAATGAAATCTGCATTAATTTTCTATGCATTTGTAGGTGAAAACTAGCACTTTTTGCAATTAAAATATAATAAATGAATAGAATTAAAATCATGTACTTTTACTGATTTGTTTCCACATGGACAAGTCTATGATTGATTGGTGATTTTGTAAAAGAATTAGTTAGTGTAATAAATTGGTAGAACATTGTAGGATGAAAAAATAATTCTAAGCCATTGAAGTTGGGGTTTGATTAAATGTAGTTGTAATCTCTCTTAAAATTACATGTACACACAAGTGGGTGCAAATTTTACAAAAAGAACAAATCAGCTATTAAAAAAATGTATATACATGTATATATATATATATATATATATGATCTTTTTTTATTGTTTAGTTAATGGTCACTATGCTTGGTGTGTGGATGTAGAGAATTCTATTGGAGTAATTGGAAGTAGTAGAAGCTCTTACATTAATATTTAATGAATTGTCCATGAATGGGTGTATTATGGCTACTAGCAAGTAAATGATTGGCTGTAAATGTATGTCCTTTATGATTTGTTCAAGTAAGTATTATGATAAACTTTTTCATGTGAGGAAATGATTACCTCTGAAACTAGAAGATAGGCGCTGGTTGTGTGCTATGAATAGGATTTGGTGTGTTATTTGTGTGAACTTGATTCATCCTAATTGGTCAAATAGCTTATATATATCTTTATATATAAATATATATATATATATTAACGATTATAAATTATTTATTTCACTTATTATTATTATTATTAATGTAATATGGTGTTTGAAAAATTTGTTGTTGTTTCAATTCATAAATAATGATGGTTAAGTTTAGAAACTTTCTCAAGTTATATTCTTGTGTTACTTTTTCTTTTTCTTCTCTTCAATATTTGATTGTTTGTATTTTGATTTTTTTTGTGTACATACACTACATAATAAAACACTGCCTAGTGTTACCATGTGACATATATTAAGATGTTTGATTTGTTTAATTTCAACCATATTATTCATATGAACATTTAAGTATTGATTTATTCATAAGATTGTATTGGTTGCTTTGGATTTGATAATTGAATTGAGTAAAATATTATATTTACCAAATCATCCCTTATTAAATTACAACTTCTACAAAGTTATGGGGAAAATGGTGGAACCAAGATGGTTTCATGGTGCTAAACTATTACTTGCTAAATTATAACTTCTCATAAGTTTTATTCTAGAATATACAAACCGACCCCATAATTTATTAGAAATAATGCAAAATTAAAGGAGTAGAAAACAAGCACAAATCTTTATTTACTAAAATAAAAATTACTATACAAACTGAATTTATTGCAAACGAAGAGTGGTATGGTATTGTGAAGCTACAAGAGTGCTTTAATGGAATATAATGAGGTGGTGAAGCCATGCTCAAGCGTGGCTGAGGAGGAGGAGGAGGCCGCCAGGGTAAAGCCGCGGCAGCGGCACGTTGGAGGGGGATAGGCGGCATGGCCATTCAATGACGTAGCGTCTGCCCGCGGCACCGCCGTGACAACGTGCTCCTGCCGCGCTCTCTCTCCCCCTCCAAACCACCCACCCAACCCAACGTTGATGAGCCCGCCTCTCAGGTCCATGTCGACAGAGATAGAGAGAGAGCGCGGGTGGGGATCCATCCAGGCTGGGCGGGCGCAATCACGCAGGATACAGCAAATCACGGGTGGGAATCCCCCCACCCCCTCTCTCTGTCTCCCCCCCTCCCAGGAGCTTTCTTCCTTTGCCCTTTTTCTCCTCTCCTCCGGCTCTTGCCACTCTGTCTCTCCGTCGGGCGGGCGCGCTGCACAATCTCTATTTGTCGTCACATCACAACCATGGCAAATGAGAGAGAGCGAGAGTGAGTGAAGGGGAGAGAGGGATACAGAGAGAGGCGGGGGAGGGAGAGGGAGAGGGAGAGGGGGATAGAGACGGATAGAGAGAGAGAGCGGGAGACGGAGGGAGGGAGAGGCGGGAGGATGGTTTATTGAGACAATCGCTGTGGGATGATGGCCTGGGTGGCCAACCCTGTGCGTCCCATTCAGTTTCCTTTTCCCCTTTCTCCCCCCTCTCTCCCTTCCCTTCCCTTGGTGTTGGCCTTGTGGCCGGTGGGACTGGCGGGGCAGAAGTACTATAAATACCTATTTTGCCACCATCTTCTCACATTCACTGGGTACTTGTGCCCTCCTAGAGAACTGCCCCCCCCCCCCAAATTTCTGTAGCATACTGCCTTTCCCCTCGCCTTTGCCTCTAACTCTGCACACGCAGGAACCAGCTCCTCGCAGGTTTCGCAACCCCAGACTGAGGTCGTGGTGCTGGTGTTGCATGGCTTACGCCTCCCAATTTTACGGGATGGAGTGGTTCCCTGGCGTGTGCTCACGTGAGGTGACAACCGCCGAGGTTGCTTACGGCGACGGGGGAGTAGGATGTGTTGTGTTATTCTTCCCTTTCTTTTTCTATGTTCTCTCTTCTCATTTCGACAGTGGTGGCGGAGGTAGGCTCTAGTGTGTGCGGATTCACTCCCCAGAAGTGTCTGCCGAAAAGTGCCTTCGGCGATGTAGAGTGAGAACGTAGTGTCAACTGTTTTGAGATTTTCGTAGGTTATTGTGTCTGTGCCGCTGTGTAATGCGCATGAGGTGAAGTATATCCACTAGTTGCGCGTGAGTTGTTTCGGAGTTGAGCCTCATCGATTCGTTATGGAAAGTGGCGTCAAATTGGGACCGATGATCCAGCTACACTGAAGACACCTGATAGAACTGCGAAATTTCTGGATCATAAATTTGCTCAATGCTCTCTGGAGCTTCTGTGTTACCACGTTGGAGAGAGTGTTGATTTGGACTCCCTGATAGGGCTTAGGCATCTTTCAGCCCTTGCTTCGGGTTTTCGTCCTTATTGGCCTCCCTCATTGGGCCTCAGAAGCTTCACAGAACATTGACTTGATTTGTGACCCTGTGATGAGGAAGAGAGTGTACCGGTTTACGGACATCAGTCTCAACGCTAATAGCCCGATGTTATGCTAGTCACTCTGAGTATTTCCACAGCTAAGAAGACCGGATTACGCGGTATCCTGTTGTGGCTGAGTTGCCAATTTTTGGTATCTTCTTGGTTTGGTGATGAGACCAGTCTCAGTTTCCAAGTATAATGAGTTCTTGAGTTTATGTGCATTCGAACAGGTCTTTCATCTCTTCTGGGAGTTCCAGGGTGCCGACTTCCTCACCGGTTTTCTTTAGATCTTTCTACTACGAACCACGTTACAACTCTAATTCTCTCCTTGTGATCATCTTTGCGCTCGTAGTCATTCGACGTAAATGCCACGGGAGGTGTTCAATCTGACGATGAAATTAGAATCATGTTAAACGTGATCTTCTGTGTGGCATTGCTGTCCCGGTTTCTATACACACTAGCTTGACGTCTACTTCCTTTGATTATATTTGATGGCTGAATCGCAGTGTACTGCATCACTCCTACGCTCTGCCATTGCAAGTGCGGGTACAAGTATATGATCCTGCGGATTTAGGATTTTATTGGACATCGAAGGTGCGCGCTCCTACTGCATCCCCTGTTTCTGTCACTTGAAGGTCCAAATCTAAACTTGAATTAATTATTGATTCTCTCTTTTACACAAGTTTGACGATGTGGCCATCGCAAATTTGCGGACGTCACGTGCTGTCATGTATCTAACAGATGGTTGCATCGTTTGCACGTACATCCTGCGAACTCCATGTCACATCTTAACTCGTCAGCAATTGTAGACTTAAGCTCGACTTCGGATCGGCGACTGTCTGTTCTAGAGTATGCCAGATTGCTTGTGGGCTAAACAGCCACGAGAGTTCCATTCTCGCATGCCTGAAGTTTGTCACTCTAGAATGGGACATATTTGTATGGTGCTTTGGTTTGTGCGCAGCACTTTCTGCGTCAATGTTTAGAAGTTGGCGAAGGAAGTATGTGCGTCACTGGATGTTTTGGAACCCTAAATCACTTCAATACCTTCTATACTCTGGTGTGTGATCTACTCAATAGACATCGTTAGCTCATGCTTACAAGTGTTCTGCAATTTGTGTTATTGTTGAGCCCATTCTTCGGGGTCCAGACGTATCGCAGGTAGCGGGATATCAGACGCACAGTTCAGCTCTCAGACGTTAAGGACTGTAATGTGCAGCGCCTTTCGAATGTGCATTCCACCACGAAGCCCATCCTCATATCGTAATAACTCTTAATCTTTAAGAGAATGCGGTCGAAACCATCGGTCTTGTACCCCTTGCATCTGTCCTCCGCAGGAACGGTTCAGTTGATCGAGTCCTTGGTGCAGTGTCCCGATTATCACCATCTTACTACACATTTCCTTTCGGTTGAACAGAAGTTCTGAGAGTTTCCAGGACTTCATCGCCGTTACATGTACACGCTTGACATACCCCGCGAGCGCTGATTGTGTCCCCGCCCACATATCGTACACGAGTTGTGACTACCGCGTGGCCCAACTGATATCCTCCGCGTGCACCCCGGCTGTAAGGTGAAGGTCGCTGTCGTGCCTGTACTGGCGACCCTCCTCGGGGACAGTCTTTGTGATCTGGTGCGTGACACACCGCATACATTCGGCACCTGAGGACCTCCCTTCTGCCACAGTTTATTCCAGCCTCCACCGATACGGAGATTAGTTCAGTCTTCAGAGCATTCCTCATTAGATCAATCAGGTCAGGTCAGCTCCTGGAAACCTTATCAATCGCGTTTCAACCACCAGACTACCATTGTTTCTCCTCTTTGCCCTGATTAGCAACTCTGCCCAAATATACACACACAATGTGGATGAGGCAAACTTTTACCTCCTGGCACCGCGCATCGCGTACTGACACTATCATGCAACTCTCGTGTCTCCGACTTCCTTCATGTCTACCACGTTTCGAAACCATTGAAGCTCCAGCGACAGAGAAGACAACCCATCATACTGAACGCGGCTGAGTAGCCGACAAGCCACGGAGTTCTCAATCATTTTACAAGACGCATTCCGTTCTTTCTGTGACTCTGCATCAGTGGTACAACATCGTCGACGATGAGTACTGATCAGTTGAGAACTGCTGCCTACACCCCCTCCCCTCTCCTCCACCAGACATTTTAGCCTGACCATGGATTGATCAGTGCATTAACTGCGATATCCCTGCTCAACTGATTAAATGAGCTGAATGTTACAAGGTCACAGAAGACAGGAGGTCAACTACACGAGCATGATTTCTGCACGAGGTCGGTGCCGTTGTTTGCACACCTCTGTGGCGAGCGGACAACTGCTGCAGTGGCGGCTCTCGGAAGTAGGGAACGGATGGAAAGCTCGCATCAAAGCGTAAGAATAATCCCAAGTGATTATACTCGTTCTGATTAGTGAAAATGATCGCCCTGATTACTGAGAATGGTCGTCCTGATTAGTTGGATGCACTCAATAATGGGGGGGGGGGGGTGTTTGACGAGTGATTTTGGTGGAATTCGCTAGCAGAAAGTGGGAAAGTGGATAATATACACTACTTTGCTGGTTTTGGTCAAAAAGTGGTTTGCATAAAGTTTGCAAAATGATTGGAAAAATCAATAGCGATTTTCCACTGATGCCCATTCCTTTCTTGTTGCTTCTCTTGCCCTGATTCTATTACACCACCGTTCGACGCTAGGGGTAGTTGGCACTTCCTACCCTTGTATTTTGAAATTTACAAGTATCAGTTATTTTCTCCGTTTATATTTTGCAGAAGAATATATGTATGTATGTATATATATATATATATATATATCTTTGTATCTTTATATAGACACACATATATGTTCTCAATGATCTCTGTTTGTGTCTTGCTCTCTCTCTATCTATATATAGATAAATACATGTGTTCTAAATGAACTTGATGCTGTTATTAAAACCATGTATACATTTTATTCCAACAACATATAAGTATTTCAATATTATTCTTATTACTTTACCTTCTGGCTACTTTACTTTTTATACTAATTGTTAAACAGTTGTAACATGTTTATATCTCCTTTATATTGTACACAATTTCTATCTTACCTTTAAGCAAAACTTTGCAACTCTATTAACAAGTTTTATTTAATTATTTATTTGTTCTTTTCAATTACTTCTTAAAATCCTTTACACAAAAAAACCAACTGAAAAAAGGCAATGACGATTGTACTATGTACATAAAACATGGAACCACAGATTCAAATGTCGTTAAATTGAAAGAAAAATTTAAAATTCATGTAGCACTCCTCTAATTAACAGAAAAGGTGTGATTTCTTGACCCACAAAGACGTTCTCCGACATTTAACATTTACAACTACACTTAAATAAATAAAAAAAAGTTATTAGTGACACGTTGATACTATGTTTATCATTGTTTGTTATGCTTTGCCTTTTTTAAGATGCAAGAGCAAACCTTTCTTGCATCTTTGGAAAAACAAAACTTTCATTATTCCTTCAAAGTGTATTTTTAATGTATTTTACAGTTTTTTTAAAACACAAGAATAGAGCTGATTTTGAAATACCTTCCAGTGTGATAAAATGATGTAAAAAAGTTTAAATTAAGACATGTTAAAGAAAAAGAAGCAGTTGTAACAAGAACGTGCAATAAATTTAGTTTTCCGACATCACTCACATGACTTTGTTAGGAAAATTTTGCCATATTTTCAAAGTAAATTAAAAATATCACTTTTTTATTTTTATTTTTATTTATAAAATTACTTTAATTTTTATGTTTTCTGTAATTGAATACAACATTGCTGGCGAAATTTGAACATTCCTTGGATTAGTGTTTGTTTCTACTTGTGTGTCTCATTTAACCATATTAGAAATGTCATAACTACTAAAATTCTAAATACATATATCAAATGGATTCCTTAATATTAACAATTTGATGATCTCACAGTCATAATATGGTTCTTTTAAAATAAGTACCTACAGGAATGTTTTGATGAAATCTAGACTGTCTGATATTTTGATTTTTTCAAATATTTTCGAGAATGTATAAAAAAACAACGAAGGATGTTAAAATATATTTCTTTTCTTGGAACCAGATTATCATATTAATTATTATTTTTTATAATTGATTTAATGCATTTTGTTGGAATTTCATCATTATAAAACCTTCATCCTCAAAGATAAAGTGAGAATTAAAAAAGTAAAAGAAAAAAGTAATTTGAGAAGATTTTGTAGTACTAACTTTATGAACCGTTTTTTTAGAATTGATAAGTTTCCTTTACAAATTATAAGAAACTTTTCAACAATATTTATAAAATATCAGTTTGAAAATAAAACTCAAAAATATTTGCAATCGATAAAATGAAATTAAGTAATACGACCCGAGATAAATTTGAAGGATTTGAAACTCGATTTTAAACGAATGATTTTGAGTCTGTACAAGATATTCATGTAATCTACACTCTCTTTAATTATATATATATATATATATATATATATACATATATTAAAAAAAAACATGAATATGGACTGGAAAATATTCAGTAAATTATACAAACACACTTGAGGGATCAAATTTCAGAGTGAATTCTGTTTTTCATGTTCATTCTAAAACAAAACATTTCATAAGCAATCACCATTATTAAACCCTCTTCCATAACAAGACATTCATCTTATGCAGTAAAAGTTTTCCCTCATTCACACCACAAACATAACAGCACCCTTTCTATCACAAACAACAGTCCACTTGGCATCAAAATGCAGCACTCATCATGCAAACTAGAAAACAAAATAAAAACTGATGCTATTTCACAAGGTACGAGTACGAAATTCAGAATTAACACACCCCACATGGAGTAGAAAATATCACATGTAGGTAAAGCCATGAGAGGGGGTGGGGGGGACCACAACTTTCACTACTCAATTAAAACTACAAAGAATTGCCACTTTTTGTATAAAAACTTGCTATTCTGCAAAGAGGCGAGAGCTATAAGTTGAAACACACCCTCACACTATCAACACATGTTTGTTTTTATTCTAGTACTAGTACAATAGTCTGCAAGCAAGGGGGTCAGCAAGCGCCGCGAGCTCACTCACGGACGCAGCGCGCATCGACGCAGTCATGTCAACAGAGGGAGGGAGGGGGGGAAGATATTAGAAGAAGGAAACATAGATCACACAATCTGTGTTACATTACACACATGTAATGAGAAAAGTACGAGTGAAAGCGCAGCTTGAGGTGAGGTGGTGCCGCTGCGAGCCAAGGAGATTGCTCAATGCTCATGGGCCTCAAGACCAAGCTTCTACTGCTGAAAATATGGATGTTGTTCAAGGCAGCGTGAGTGATGGCAAAGTACTGGAATATAGCGTAACTGCACATAAAAAAAAACTTGAGCACTAGTTTTAGAAAACGGAGCTGTGACTAAGATGTCGGAGCCATGATGTGGGTAGAAAGGGGGGAAGAGGTAGGGAGAAAAAGGGGTGGCGATGGTGGGGGGTGGTGAAGGCTGGGGCAAAAAACGAATCATAGGCACCACCTTCTGATGATTCACTGACAGACAGCCCTTCCCAACGCAGCGTGAGTACCCATGATCAGGATTTCAAGTCAGAATTTAACTTATCTTCAATGCAATCAGCTGGTCTTAAATCCAGCCACTCAATCGCCCTGCAAAGGGTACTGCGGTTCTGATGCCCGTGAGTTACAGGCCTTGCAATTGGCAGCATCAGCAGAGCCTGCGTGTGTGTGCGTCACCACGGAAAGTGGTCCCTATGGAGATTTCGATCCCATGCTGTTGGCGGATCATCTGAAGTGGGTTGTTTCTAGCTTGTGTGTGAGGACTAGCGCTGAGCAGATAATTTGTTGCATGGCTGTGGCCCTAAAAAATGCCTCTGCTGACAATGATTAGTGGTTGTCAGTAACGCTGCTGCTACTCACCTGAAGCCTGCGAATGAGCGGCGTGCTGACTTTTCGCTGTGTAATTGGGGGCAGGCTCCCGAGCTTGATTCTCTCAATGGGCTTTTGGACACGACCTCGATTTGTGGCTAAAGACACATGTTGATCACATGTTGGTGGCTTCCAAGGGAATAAGGGGAATGAGGCTCCGGAGACTGACGATATGGGCATCCGGAAATCCAATGAACGCAATCTCATGGAATACCGAAGTTGTTTCATTAAGCACGGGAATAGTGACAGGAACAAAGTCTTTTGTAGGCAGTCACGGCGACTGCCGAAGCTAGACTTTACGAAGCTTTTGGTTATCACTTCCCCCTCATACCACACAGCGGTGAGTTGCTGCATATTTGGCCTGCAGGGATCGATAGAAGAATGAAACTCAAAAGGTTTTCAACAATTTTGAGGAGGTTTCGTCATCGCCTCTCTGAATGTGTGCGTTGGATGTCATCTTCGATTATGAACTTAATTTCCTCCATATCTAACAGCCACAGAGAGGTTGAGTTGCACAAAAAACTAGCAACTAATACAAGTAATTTATACTCTTTTGACTCCGTCAAGCGGAGATTGCGCACGGAGTAGTAATGAATCATGGTGGATGCGAGAATCTGCGTCAGATTACGCCGAACCCCCATGAAAGTGATAAGAGCTATGATCAACCCTTTCATTTTCAGATCGATTTTTAAGAGGTCATCGTGATTGTTCAGGCGTATCTTGTTCGCCAACTTGTATCAAAAAAATTGTTTCCTCCATTATAGAGAGTTTAAAGGTAGACCGAAGAGTATGGGTAGCTCCAAATCTGCAGCTACTTTAAGAATACAGTGCAGTTACACAGACACAATCTTCCAGCAATTCCCAATTCAATGATGCTCGCAGATCCTTTCTGGGAATCGAAATCCGTCTACGTTTGTGATTCTTAGAGCTGATTTCTGTCGACAAGTCTCACTTACTCGTTTCCAGTGCAGAAAACCATAAATTTTCTCCAAAGGCTTAAAAGTTAGATAGATGATTGTTGTTTCCGTTAACAGATACATTCAAGGCTTCTAATAATATAAGCTTTGGAGGTACCAAGAAACGCATTGAATCTCAAAGAGATGAATTAGAAAATATATGAGTGACTTGACGGGACTAAATGGATTCAGGTGCTATGGGTGGTCTCTGAAACTGCTTTGATTATGTTCCATTTACCCACAGCACTGGTTCAATGCAAATGGTAGATTGAACTCATGATAAGGTACGAATCCATCACAGGGAAGAGAAAGTACGTGAATGTCCCTTTGAAGTCTAGCTTTTTCTCAGTAGGCCAGTACTCCAATCGGAACCAACTCAGATCTTAGAGGAATACAAGTCCTCTGCTCAAATTTACAAATTACGGCGACAAGTCAAGTAAAAATTACTTAACTCTTCGTAATGACCCAGTTCTCGACTACGTCACAGATGAAACAGTCCCTGTCAATGCTCGGTCAGAAGGCATTCTAGTTCACTTGTGTCCCAAACACACCCTGACTTTCGTGCCCTGATTCTGGAATAAGGACTTCGTTGACGCTGGTTAAGTTTCTTTTTCGAGTATGTAAACTACAATGATAAATGCAGCTTCGTGACTCATTGCTTGCACAGCCCAATGAGCAAGATCATGTAATATTGTTAGTTGGGTAGAAAATCATAATGCATGTTTCACTGAAATGCAAAAGACCAAGGCAACAGTGGAGCACATCTCCAATTGCTTCTAAAATACCCTTGTTCCGAAGCCACATTCCAGGCCCATCCATGCCTGATGAAGTAGTCGTTGCTAGTGTTTCTTCAAACTTCTTATGGGTAT